GGGATTTTATGATTAAGTGATAAGCTTAAGATGTCTACAGTGACAAATCTTTAATTACCTTTAATATAGGCATAGATAAATTGGATCAAATCAAATGGATAAAACAGGATGAGAAGACACAAAGTCATGAGGTAGAGAAAAAGAGCTGTATGACCTTTCCTCTAATTTGACTATTGCGTTTAAATGTATTGCACAGACTAGTTGAAGTCTCAAGCACATCGTATGCCTCAGCACTGGCAAAAAGATCAGAACTTTGTGGGATGTAAATAAATTGTTAATCAGCTTATGTGTCATCATTGTCTAAAAATCTAATAAGAAATATCAATAATGAAACTGTGGTATAACCGCAAGACACTTGATGTAGACATAGGACTTCAGCTCAGTATTAAGAAGACTACGTTTTTTGATAGATGATGAAAGAAACTAAGCTAACTTTAGCATTGATTGAGAAGATGTGGAAATGGTGGACAGCTTTTCTTACTTATTATTAATTATTAACAACAGAGAACGCAAGAAATAAAACACAGAATAGCACTCGGCAGATGAAGGATGAAAGAGCTTGGAAAGATCTTCAAATGCGATGATGTATCTCTACAAAGAAAGATCAGGTTTGTCCAGGCTGTGGTCTTCTCTGTGATTCTCTATGGATGTGAAAGCTAGGCGATGAACAAAGCGAGACAGGGAAAAAATGTAGATACCTCTGAACTTCGGTGTTGGCAAAGACTTTTGAGAGTACCTGGAGTCGGAAACGACTTGACGACACTTAATAATAATAATAATAATTGTATGCAGGCCTTTGCCCTTCTGCCTATGACTGCAGCACACCAGTGCCAATATCTCACTATGGAGCGTTTCTTTTCATATATTATTGCATAAATCACAACCAAGAGTCAACAGTGCCTGCCTTCAAGTTCTAGTTTAAGTCTTAGCCATTAACTTGTGCTTTTAGCCATGTTTCGGTTCTAAAGACCTATATCTTTGTTAACTTTGAAGACGTGTTAAGTGTTTATGTACTTGAAGTCGTTTTCTTGTTTTTGGGTGATATGTCTGATAAGGAAATCTGAGGAGGAGTTCTGCAGCTGCCATGCAAACCTTGTGATGTAAATTTGGAGGGTTTGTCATTCTATGCAAATTAGTTGTGCAGGGGTGATGCCTGGTAGTGAATTTGTGTTGTGATGTAAGCATCTCTGTACGTGATCGAAAGCAGCACGATCTATGATTTAATGGATTTTAATGTTGATCATTTTCTTCTTTTGTAGTGCTGTGCTGCCCTACTTTAAGACTTGTAATTAGACCTAATATGAACTCAAAAGTTTACAAACTGTTATCGACTAGTATTCCTCATAAAACCGGTTGCTTTGGAAAGGCAGGACTGAGTGAACATGGGGGATGATGTGTGCTGGAATGGAGAGAAGGGAGTGGGTGTGATCTTATTGTCTGTAGATAACTGTGACTGAAGTCTGACAGCTTTAACGCATTTCCTGCTGAAACCTCATATCTCATTTTTGGTCTTAAAGGATGGAGGGCAGACAGTCCTGCTTAGTCATCGTTATGTTCCTCACTGTAGTTCCAGCCATACCTTACGTTCCTGTCCTGTTTATGACAGACTACATGCCTGCACTAGAGCATGCAGCCATATGATATCTTTGACGAGCTCAACCACCACTTTTGAAAACCACACAACACAGTCTCCCTCTAGTAGTGTAATGATATACAAATTTAATCATACAATATGTATTTTGGTTTTTTGGCACCACAATACAATACAATATATATAATCAATCAAAGCCCGAGCACCTGGTGAAAACATAATCAACAACAAACAGGTACTTTTCTTAGAAGATATCCCTCCCTTTCGTTTATTCAGTATGCAGTCAAAATGTCCAGTACTATTTATTAATTTTTCTTTGTCAGGAAACAAAAGCAGGAAGCATGTATATTTAACAGAAAATTACACAAAAAGCCTCCACCACTAAGTATAATATTAAATCTATCATTATTTCATTTATCCAGTGTCTACTTCTGTGCTCCCTGCCATTTTAACTCCTCCCTCCTTCCAACTTTAAAACCAACCACAAAAGCTGTTCCCAAAGGTTTCACTAACATTGTTATCCATCAAAGAGACACTAATATTCACACAAGCAACTGCCAAAATACACTTCAGCTGCTTTGAAATTTTCTTTCCCATGTGCATCTAAAATGGTAAAAGGAAATATTTCTGAGGAGATTAAATATAAGAAGTGGGGAAGGGAAAGTCAAAGGAGAATAAGTGGAAATCAAGAGTTTCCAAAACAGGAGTTCAAAAAACTGACTTTTCCACAGTATATATTTAATTATATATAAAATAGTTAAAATACACACAAAATGTAATAATGTCAGGGTGCTAGAACATGTTTCTTCTTACTTTTGTGGTTGTCTCTTCAGTGAATATTGAGGAATGTTATTATTCAATATTATTCAATCCAATTCAGTTATGTCAATATGTTTAATGTCACTAATATTAAAAATATTTCTTGTAACATAAAATCGAACTATATTCAGTATCGTAACTCCCCTAATGATCACACATCTGTACCTCCACACTGCTGAGAGAGAGAGAGAGAGAGAGAGATTGCCATAAAGCAATGATGAACATATGCCATGACAATAGGGGATTTGTGTCCTCTCTTCCTCTGCTCCACAGAGCGCTGAGCCCAAGCCAGTTGAAGCAATCCAGTCAAACACAATTACTAATCCCTTTGGCTCATAGAGAGAGAGAGAGAGAGAGAGAGAGAGACAGAGACAAACAGACAGAGACAAACAGACAGAGACAAACAGACAGAGACAAACAGACAGAGACAAACAGACAGAGACAGACAGACAGACAGACACCGGAAAGTATACGAGAGGAGGAAAACCCTGACTCTGTTGTGAATTATGTTTAGACGTATCAAAGCCTTGACACAATTTCTGATTCTCACTCAGGAGGACTTCTCCCTTGCTTTAGAGTTACAGAGTTCTTTCACTCTGTTTCTGATTGCATGAAGTATGAAGTTGGGGATGTGTGTGTGTGTGTGTGTGTGTGTGTGTGTGTGTGTGTGTGTGTGTTTAATTGCAGATTGCAGATAATTTAATGGATACGCAGTGTTCGTAATTTTTAAAACAGATCTGAACTGGTATTGCTAATAGCATAACCTTTAGAATACAAACGAAATGCATCCCACTGGGCCAGTGTAATTGCAATGTGTTCTGTAAAAAGAAACTCAAGGCACTGATTTTTGGATTACCTCTGATTTTGTGCAGTGACCAATCTGTTAGAGAGAGCATTTTTTATTCTTTATTCTTTTCTTATGTTGCATTATTTCAGGCTCAATTTGTTACATAATCCGATTAGAGACCTTTTTTCTTTGATATTAGACGCAGCATTTACTGCTGGCATCAGCTCCCAATGCACGAGTGTCTCCAGTTTTGTGAAGAACCTTGATTTAATTTTGCGTTTTAAAAGCTGAATATTGTGATAATGAATAGATGCAGGATCAGTGCTGATACAAAAAGAATTGGGTTGGTGCCAGCTCTAGTGCCAGTGCTTAATAATGTGAGTATATCAAACGGCCTCAACATGGGTGGATCTTAAAACTCTAATTGATGCCCCCTTGACTCCTCTGTCCTACCTCTGTGGTATAACATCTCCTCCTTCACCCTGTGTTTTTATTGGATGATTACAGTTAATGAGATGAAAGGATGATGTAAGTTAATAAAATTGTTGACATGGTTGCATTTTAATAATTTGAATTGTTGATAAATAGGACATACGTGTCTAAGCCCAGTAATGAATGATGAAAGTGATGTCTGAGCTCCTCTCTTTGAGGTTGCCGAGAAAGGATGTAAAGATAGGGGAGGAGGATTCAACGCCAAACATGTACCAGATAGGACGTTTTTTACTCCATTTTCACTTTCATCAACTGTTACAAAAAAAGGAAACAGAGTTGCACGACTAGAGGTATGGGATACGCCCCATGAAATCTGTTTTGCAAAGTGCCCTGTAATTCCCATGAATACCAGGTATTCTGTGTTTTTTTGAAGGCTTTGTTCAGTGTTTTGGGAGCTGCAGTAGAGGGAACCTGAGGACTAGTTTGAGAACCACTGCCTATACGAAAATGTCACAGACAGAATGTGCCCATTCACTCCGAACATTCCCTTGAGCAACAGTTTGAACAGCACTGTGTTTGCCAGCCTGCTTCTCCTCAGTCATTTCCATTAGCTGATTGCTTGCATGCCTGTCTTGCTCCATCCTGGCTTCCCTCCATGTAGCGCCGTGCCATTTTTGTGCTGATCTGAGACCAGGAATCTCTGCTACACTGGAAGTGGTTTGGGTCAGAGCTTGAGCTGAGGAACAGGGTCCTGAATCAGCTCTTTCCCACTTGGCGCCTTCCTATGTGCTGCATTATGTCATTCTGGAGCTGCGGTGTTCTGGCTCGAACCAGCGCTGGCAGCTCCAAGCCATGGCCGCCTGCCATTGTCACCCGGGACAGAGTGATGTCACATCCTGGGCTTCACTGACCAATGTGTTTTGGCCTGTGGCGCCAGCATGTGTGTCTGTGAAAAGACACAGGGGAAGTGCTCGATTTTTGCAGTGTGTAATCTCAGTTGTTTATGTAATGGCATATTTAGATGTAGAGTGCCGTGTTGGAGAGGGTTGTTGTTGATCACGAGAGATGGCTTGTTTTTGTTTTTTAGGTGATTGCAGTCAGAATTCTTGTGGCTCATTCTTAGCTCTTCAAAGCTGTTCAGTGTGTGTTTTTTTTTCTGTATATCAAAAAATATGAATAGCTACACTGTTGTACACCTTGCTGTCCATAAATAGATATCACAGTGCACTGTTCATATTCAGTCTCCTTCAGCATTGTTTTGAGCTGGTAGCAGAATGCACAGATGGGAGGAGTTTTTGACTGCCCCACAATAGAGATGCCTTTTCTGCTGGGGAAATCAGTGTCAGTCTGTGTCTCTGTCTCCTTCCATAGAGCTCAATTCAGATCACCTTTGATGACAGCCTTCAGCTCCCTACCTCTGCGTCCATTGACCATGTGACTTGCACAGACCAATCAGCACACAGCATGGTAAGCCACACATCCACTTCTTTATAGTTGAGTGTTCTGGCATGAATATTTTAACCTGTGTTGAACCTGTATTGTGAAGTGTTTCAAATCCACACTGTTTTTGTCCACTTTTGTGAATTTCACTACTCTCCCCTTCCAGGTTTTGCAGTGCAACTGTTCCATTGACATGGTAACGTTCCCAGTGACTGTCACTCAGCAGTCACCGGCGGCCGTCTCCATGGATACATACCAGATCACCATGGACCCCATGAAGGCCCAGGTAAAAACTAAAAAAGAAGTAATTACATTCAGGAATATGCATATATGTGTTTATAGCTACTTTCTCAGCAATGCACAGATTAATCCAGCTTTGTAGAGAAGTGAGATTTTAAGGTGAGTCTTTTGTTTGTAAATATGTGCAAACAGTCCTAAGATGTTCTACAGTGGCAGTAATTGTAATGTGCTTAGCTGTTTCATTGTTGCAAGAGTACATTGCAAACTGAATGTACCTTAAGGCTGCAATTAGGCAGCAGGATCACATTGGATTAGTTTTTAAATCCATTTTTGCTGTGTGCTGACAACCCATTCAGTGCTGTTTTCTTTTTGACATGTTTTGAAAAGGACAAGCTTACTTGCTAATGCATCTGTGTTTGTGTCGCAAAATTTGCCATTTAGATTGCAATGAAAACATAATTAATTCAGATATATTTGATAATCTTGGATCTCTGTGTTGCTCCAAGTGAAGCCTTAGAAACTACAGTATTTCTTAAGGGAGGCACGCCTGTAGTATCAGTTTGCATGTAGGTCTCCTTTTGCCATTTCAATAATTTAATGTAGCCTTATTGTGACTGTAGGGACTATAGTTCACAGAGTTCATGTAATCAAAAGATGATATCCATTCTCCATAATGTGAATCTACATTTTTAGGGCTAGATGTGAATAGAAGAGGTGATTATTGCATTTATTCTGATTATTGATTGTGACTAATGGAGAAGCACCATTTAAAACTTAATCTCAGTGCACTCAGAAGGAAGCCTTCAGACCATGTGAGCGCCTGTAATACATCAAAATGTTTATGCGGTATTTGATAGGAACATCATAGGATCGATCAGCAAGCTTGCAGCTTACTTGGGGGAAGTTCTGTAATTCATTAGAGTGTTCCTAAGCTGACTAATGCTGTTTATTACACTGTGTTTAGTATCATCCTAAATTATTAGAAAACAGTCATCTTCAGCGCATAAAATCATACTTTTTTTCTGGAATTTTTACATGTTCTGAGTTGAACATGTGAGACAGGACAGTAACATTACATGTCGGCCTGATTTTAGCCACAGAGAACAACAAGGCTGAAGTTTGCTTTGTATTAGCCAGCTTCTTGTTCGAATTTTCTCTTTCCACCTTGAATGGTGCAGCAGTTACATTGTGGCACCTCGCGCTGCACTTATACTGCTCCGGTGCGTCCTCCCCTCTTCAGTTGCCCATATGTGGGTGTTATGGGGGTGTTCCCTGTGAAATACAATAAAAATGTAGTCACCCTAAGGTAATATTTATGCAAGTAATGCTTCTTTTTTTTTGAATAATCAGATAGTCAATGTAGTTTGCGTCATTTTTACGCATCTTCAAATACTTTCCAAAATGTTAATGAAATAAAATTGGAAAGATTAGGATTTATGTCGTTAATTTACCACTTGCGGTCAATATCAGACATTTCGTTTTATTATCATCCAAGCGATTGTTTTCCTGCTCAGGTTTTAAATTTTGGAGGTAAACAGTTGTATTTAAATGTATTTGCTTTTGTCACTGGTGCACCTTTTCACGCTGGAACATTTGAAAAGGGGAATCAATGTTTCATACCTTGTGCTGCAGACATGAATCACGCAAACACGAGCTGCCTCCTGATTGGGTAGATACATTGCATTGACAGATGGCGATTCACTTGATCGAAAATCAGCTCCGCTCAACTTTTCCACGCCACCAGAGCCAGTTTATGACCTCTTCTATTTCCCCTGTTATATCCAAAACATGATTGCAAAGCCCCAGAGGGTACCCACGAGTAAATCCTCAATGAATAAGGGTCAATGGAGCTAAACGGCTAAAATTGAGTTTCTAATTGTTTCTAATGTCTTGCCCAGAGCTTTCCTTTAATTTTTTTAAAGTAGAAGGATGTATTTCACTGTAAAAGCAAAGAAAACTGACATTTATGTTTCCTTTTTTTCTGCAGCAAATAGGTTTTGGGCAGCTAGATGCTAGCATTACACCGACTGAGTGCTGACTTGTTGGCTAGCAGAGCAGCTCTTTGGATGTTTGTGCTCATAGAAGTCATGAACATACATGAGGCACCATTTTACACTCCTATAACTGGGGTTTAAAACTGTTTTAAAATATAACAATGGTGTTAAAATGTTTTATGCTGTTCTGTGTTCAGGAAATTTATGTATTATTTTACATTAAAAATGTTTATGCATTCATAAACTATGATTTAACTCCAATGCTCCATCTTAACCTCGTTCGTTTTGGGCTCGCTCAAGAGCGCCCTCTAGTGTTCATGGAAGCATGGAAAACATTACACTGTGGTAAATTCTCCTCTCTACAAGTTCTCTGGTACTGCGTACGCAAGACTTGACATGCCGGACTCATCATGCACCGTGCAGCAACATCCTTACATTTTGTGCGTTGATGTACCGGAGCAGTGTAAATACAGCGGTTGTTATAATATTAACTGCCGCACTATTTAAGGTGAAACAGGAAAATTCTAACAAGCTGACTTCAGCTTCGTCAGAGAACACAGGTAAACCCTTCCATACTTTAGAAACTCTATTTCCACAGAACATAACAGCGTTTTTCACAACATGTCGATTCGCACAGGATTAAAATAGGTTATTTTAATTGCACGTTTTACAAAAGGTAAAAGACACTGGAATCTTTACTCACACGTGAGTGCGTAGTCTGTAAAACATACCGCATGGCGCATTCGGACAGAACTACAATCACTGAGAAACACTGGTAATAATTACATTATCACACCTCCTCATGTAAAACTAATCCCTGAATAGGGCTATAGTGTGGCTTTAAGAATGCAAACGCTATTGCCTCGTGTCATTCACAGTACAAGAATTGCTTGTGTCAAACAGAGCTATAATTGTTCCGTACATTTTTGTCCAAACCTGAAAACAACCCAATCTGAACACCCCATTCTGAGCCTGAATGACCTTACCCACAGCACAAGTTTTGGGTCTGAAACTGACCTGAACCCAACAAAATTCTCTCTGAAACTGCCCTGAGCTGACCCAAATGAAACCTGCTATTTCTAATGATAGCACAAGTTAAATTACACTGTAGCGACAATAGTATCCATCATTAACTTATAGATTAATAATATATAGAAATATAAAACATATGACATAATAAAATATAGCAAGAAGCCACGAGAGCCTGTGCGTTACAGTGATTTTATCACTGTAAGGATAAGTGTGTTGTTGGGCATGCCTCGAAGCAGAGTAATAAATAATTAATAATCACCTGTCCACCTGTTTTATGCAACTAATCTGCCCTCTCATGAATCGATTCACTGTTTTATTTTCCGCCTATCCATTTTCTCACAAATGTGGGCCTCATAGACCTTGGTGCTAAATTTTCAGCAACTCGAGTGGTCTGATTAAAAATGTTTTAAAGTAAAGAAAGTAGGGGGAAGAGTAAAGTAAGGAGGAAAAAGAAAATCAGGGAGAATGCAGGGTAAAATCTGTTAGAAGTGGGAGATGGACTGTGAGAACCCAGTTGGGTAATTTGAACCTAACCCAAACCTGACACATATTTGAGAAGTGACGCCCAACGCATGCAGTCATGTCCTGTCTGGTCCGGATAAATATTTCAAGCTGTAGTGCTGAAAGACATGTAAGTATTGATGTTAGATAATTTCTACTGTTACAAATGCTGGTGTGTGGGTGCTGCTGCAGTTGCAGGTTTGTCTGGAGGAGGTGGAGGAAGAAGGCCTGCTGGTCTCTTGGACATTTTCCCAGCAACCCCTGCCATCCTTAACCGTGACTCCACGACAGAGAGTTCAGAGAGAGGTAGGGGGAGGGAAATTACCTGAGCTATACACCAGCTTATGGTTTCTTTGCATTTTGTTTGTAATAAGTAGATAATGCTGCTCAGAGTGTGTTAATATTTAACACATAACAGCTTGTCCTCTAATGACTTTCATTTAAATTAGTGTTCAAAAATAGTACCAAAGCACTCGTAACATGCCTGATTGAGCTCAGAAACTGGTGAGCTGAATAAGATATGAGATTTAGTGAGCAGTTTAGTAATATTAATATTATTCCAAGTCTAGTATGACTGTGCTTTTAAGAGGGACTCATCCACTAAACTATGTAACAGAAATGGCACTATAATGTTGAGCACAGTGACAGGCAGCTGCTGTAGAGTTGATTTGTGTAATTAGGTTATTTCCTGTGCGTAGAGCTCCGAGGCAGAGGTGGACATGGATATGATAGCAAAGTTGGTGGAGGACACACTATATGCCACGCAACCTGCCATGATCCTCAACCTGAGAGCATGTGTCTCCAGCCCTGCTGTAAGAAAAAAAAAAGCACACATACCATCAATATCCTACCTGAGGTTCGTGTCTGTTGATTGGTTGGTGAGCTGATCAGCTTATTAGCAGAGTAAAGCAGTTTGCACTCATTGATGTCATGAATTTGCAGGGATGCAGTCTTAATTTCCTGTTCTAAAATGCAGGGGGTCTGGCTGAAACAAGCCTCTGCCTATGGACTCCAGCTCGTGTGTGTTTTAGTAGTGACTTAAAAATGTCAGATGGCATTTTTAATATAGCATTAATTTAATATATATTTTTTTATTTTGAAAATTAAATGTAGGATGAATCAGTTTAGGGGATTAAGATTTGATCTAAGATCTGAATACTTAGTTGTTTTTTTTTAATCCTTTTTTTCTTACTGTGGGACCACAGTTTGAACTAATTCAGAAGAAAGGACCACATAGCATATTCCGCTTTACACGTAACCTCTGCCCTCTTACATTTGCAGTTTCCCAGAGAGAAGAAGGAAGGGAGCCAGAACTCTCCACAGCAGAACAATGCTCTCAGACGCCTTTTGGTGCGTCAACTGAAAGCCTCCAGTGTGAAAAAAGGTAGACCTGCCTTTCAGCCACTGTATACAGATTTGTTTGCATGTTACATGTTTGCGTAGGCTTTCTTTTCATTTAATCATTTATTGAGGATTTCCAAGTAGAATAGTCTTTCTTCTTTTAAAACAAAAGACAGATTACTCCTACAGCTTAATGTCATAATTCGCTATAGAAGTCTTTGTGCTAAAGACTTTGTGTTTCGTAGGTGCTGCAGTGGTATTTTGTTCTTATCTGCGCCTTCCATGCTGTGTCATCATTCTTAAAATGAATCATAAGCTTAGAAAGATAAAATCCATAAACAGTGCACCCATTAACTGCTTTCTGTAGGTTCTTCACAAATATAGCATGTTAAAGAGCTTTCCAGCCTAAAACTAGCATTTAATATGGTATTTGCAGTGTTATGCAGTATGCTGTCGTGTTGTATCCCTCAGCCTCATCGGTTTGGCAGAATTCATTGTTTTAGATTGTTTTCATGTTTTCATTCATCAGTGTTCCACCACTACAATACCCAGCAAGCATTACACCAAAAATACTGGGAATCTCTGTAATGTCACCCAGTCCTGGCTGCTAGCCTAGCAGCCATCTGTGGACTAATAAATACAACAGAGCTAGCATTAATGTAACTCTTACCTCAGTTGTCAAACAAGATTTTTTTCTCTATCAAATGCACACAATTCAGTTGAAGAATGACAGAGAAAAAGAATCAAACTGAAGTATTTAGATAACTAAACTGTAATCTTTTAGCATGTTGTCCTCCTCATCTGACAAGTCATTTCTGTCGACGAGTAATCCATTGTCTTCATTGTAATGATGATTTCAGGACAGTTGCCACAGGCAAATGATGGCTATAATATGTTCAGCTTACTAGCAGTAACATTAGCTATCTGGCATCCTTCTACATTTGCCAGCTAGTGAGAAAAAAGATCCAAAGCAGTTATCGTTTTTCAAAAGTCCCTTCCACTTTCAAGATATGTCATTAAAAGGTTTTCCTAGTCTTTGAACCAGAAAATCTTGCTCTAGAGTTTACTGCCACACCCCTTTAGGAGGTGCGTTGGTATGTTTACATCAGACATAGCTATCTCTGCTTAATATTTTTCTTTTTGGCTGAAGTAAATCCCCTGTTGGTAAAATAAGGTAGTCTTGGCAGCTGTATTCAAGCTGTTGTGTTCAGATGTGTGGGTAAGCTGTAGGTTAGTGATGTTGTGTCTTCAGGTTGCCAGGCTCATGTCGGGGAGCTGTGCTGCGTCCTGAGCTTGGATGTCCCCGCACTGGAGAAGAGAACACGCTTCCTCACACCTTCCACCAGCCCTGGAGCCACATTGGACTGGGGAGAAGACCTCACGCTGTGAGTGCACCCTATCTGGCCAGTAACAGACTGGTCATACTAATGTCTCAGAGCTCTTCTAAGATTGTATCTCGGGTGGAAATTCCAGCTCTGATGGACAACATGAAGTAGTTACTGAGTATGAACATGCAATAGGACGGATTAGGCTTAGGTATAAGATTATATTCCACAGACAATGAAGATTCTGTATTGGAAATCTGTCTTTATCAGGAAGTTGAAAAAATAGCTTAGCAATGTGAATGTGATCTCTGCAAGAGTTTATAGAAAGCTTTATGGAATGAAAGAGTGAAGCGATCCCAACTGAGCTACCTCAGATGAAAAGAAGTCTTTCATTCAGTAATTACTATAATGCTTTTATCTTCAGCCATTTGTTTCGTTAGGTGATTTCTCTAAATGAGGCATGCTCACCAGGAGACTAAGCCTTTACAGGCTGCCCTAGATATGCTTAAACATTCTTAAGTGACCTTTTTAGCGTGTCCCTTTCATGCTAATTAAGCAAGTCTCCTTTCATGCTAATAGAGGAGAGCTGAGTGTTTTCAGAATCCTTTTATTTATAAAAGCATGAGATTGCCAGTGAATCCACCCTCCACCCTCTGGGCTGTGGATGTCGAAAGCCATTGCCTGAGCAGACGATGGGCCATTAGCTCACTTTAATCAAACCATTCATAGCATGTTCACACACTCCTGCTTTGAATAGTTCAGTGAAGTCAATATGCTGTGGTACTGTGAAGGTCTTGACTATTAACAAAACAAAGACTAGTTGGCATCCTAAAAGTTGCTTGAAGAATTAACCTTGACATGTGCATTGATCAAAAACTTCTTTGTGGTTAAACATTAGTTTATGTTTTTTTTTTTTAGTGTTTCATGTAGTGTTTTTGTGTGTGCAGTTATTTGTGAAGACATGACTGAACATGTTACAGCTGTCTTTTTCTCTCTTTTAGGGATTTGCAACCAGAAACCAAAGAACTCAAAGTTAGACTTGTGGAGCGCAACAGCAAAGGAGAACGTAAGTCAGTCATTTGTACCAAAAAACATTTTCATTTAAGTGTTTGCGGTCTTTAGCATGCTTAGAGTAAAAGAAAAACATATTGAATTTGATCATGTAAATACCCATAAAATGTTTCTCAGTTTCAGTCTCCAATGCCCTGCATAGTTTCAGGTATTCTCCCCAAAACCAAACCTAATCAAACTCATCAGCTAGTTTTCAAGCTCCTTGCAGGTTGGATAAAGATGTTTTATAACAGGGAATAGCTGAAACTGTGCAGGAAAGTGGGTTCATGAGACCAAAGAAACCTCCTCCCATCCCCTATTCAAATTATTTCCAAATGGAAGGATGGACACCCTTTGTGTTTACTCTGGCACAATCAGGTTTTTCTGTCCCATCTGGCAGAATTCTTGCCGGGTCATGCCTGCTTATCACTGGATCTCCCTAGGAGGAGTCCCAATGGACTTCACAAACTGTCCATCACACCAGGTCATGGTCTGGCACCGACAGCTACTGTCACCTTGGAGGTGAGTGGGATGTTGGAAATGGTATTCAGTCTCCTGGGTCTCTCCTGAGCATTTAAGTATGAAAAGTATTGCAATTCCACCCAGTTGGCAATTCTTTTTATACCTAAATGTGTTTTGTCCTAAACTAACGTACCTTTTGGATAGGGCTGGCCTGAACAGCATTTTACCGGCTTTGTTGATATTTCCAAATGATCTTCCAAAATCATCTTTAAAGACAATTATATTTAAAGCATATTTAGTCGTCTGTCTGACAGAACAGATACGCTTCCATATTAATCAGTGTTGCAGTTCACACCAGCTACGCTAGACATGCATCAAAACATTTCACAAGGCCATTTCTTTTTTTTATTCGTAAACTCTGAAGAAATCCAATCAAATAACACAGCCACTATTATCTATATCACTATATTTCTGTTATGTTTTGAACTACAACTCTGTTTCCAAAAAAGTTGGGACGCTTTGCAAAATGTAAATAAAAATCAGAATGCAATGATGTGCAAATGATTTAAGCTCATATTTAATTGAAAATAGTAAAGACAACATATCAAATGTTGAAACTGATAAATTTTACTGTTTTTTGAAAAATAAAAGCATTTTGAATTTGATGCCTGCAACATGTTTCAAAAAAGTTGGGACAGGGGCAACAAAAGACTGGTAGACTTGTCTAATGCTAAAAAAACACCTTGGGGAACATCACAACTAATTAGGTTAATTGGCAACAGGTCATTAACATGATTGTGCGTAAAAAGAGTGTCCCTGAGAGGCTGGGTCTTCCAGAAGTAAAGATGAGGAGGGGTTCACCACTCTGAAAGACTGCACGGGCAAATAGTGCAACAATTCAAGAATAATGTTTTTCAATGTAAAATAGCAAAGAACTTTTGCATTGCATCATCTGCGGTACATAGTATCATTAAAAGATTCAGAGAATCCAGAGAAATCTCTGTATACTCACTACTGGCTGGCAGTGGTCTCCAGGCCCTCCAGCGGCACTGCATAAGAAACAGACACAATTCTGTAGTTGAAATCACTGTATGGGCTCAGGAACACTTCTGAAAACCACTGTTTATGAACACAGTTCGTCGCCGAAACCATATATAAACCCGAGCTCATTGAAAATGGTCTATGGTGAAGTGGAAAAGTGTCCTGTGATCCAACAAATCAACATTAATTCCTTTCGGGAATCATGGACACTGCATCCTCCAGGCTAAAGAGGAGACGGACAGTCCAGTTTGGGAATGCATTAGTGCACATGGCATGGCTTGACTTCTGTAAAGGCACTATCAATTCTGAATGATACATATAGGTTTTGGAGCAACATATGCTGTCATCTGGATGACATCTTTTTCAAGGAAGGCCTTGCTTATTTCAGCAAGACATTCTGCATGTATTACAACAGCGTGGCTCAGTAGTAAAAGAGTCAAGGTGCTAAACTGGACTGCCTGCAGTCCAGGGCTGTCAAGCATTGAAAACATTTGCTGCATTATGAAATGAAAAATATGATAAAGGAGACCATGAAACTGAGCAGCTGAAATCCTATATCAAGCAAGATTAGGAAAACATTTCACTTTCAAAATTATAGCAGTTGGTCTCCTCAGTTCCCAAATGCTTGGAGAGTGTTGTTAAAAGAAGAGGTGAACAGGATTTTGCCCCAACTTTTTTGAAGTGTGCTGCTGGCATCAAATTCAAAATGGGCAAATAATTTTTTTAAAAAAAGAAATAAAAATGCTCAGTTTCAACATTTGATATGATGATGTGTTAATATGATACTATTTTCATTGAAATATAGAATTTAAATGATTTACACATCATTGGGAGCGGGGTTGTAAATATACAATAATAATTTACTTAAATATAGTCATTTTGTTTATTGTGGTAGTAGCAGAGCAGCTCCTATGTTGTGCCAATGGTGTGTGTGGTGGAGATTGTTTTCTAATACAATGGTAAAAACTTGTGACTTCACAGCTGCTTTTGTGATATCAATAAAAATTTCTGCATTGTTACATCAATAAAAATGTAAATTATGTATAAAAGCTCAAAAGACGTGTAGGTTCACGGGTTGTTTTGGATAATAAATAAAATGGTTATATTTGTGACCCCTGGCCATATCACAACCCCTGGTTCCTGTTACCACCATTTTACATCAAATTGCTCTGAATGACTTTGTTTACATCTCGACTATGTTATGTTGAAATTTTGAAAAATCGGTGGAATTCCCCTTTTATTAGAAAAGAAATAAAGAAAAACAACTAACATTCCCACCGGAAGCCTTTGCTGTTTACATTTATTTTAGGCTGTTATTTTTGTGGCTAAACAAAGACAAATCCCCTTAATACTAAACAGGAAACTGATACCAGAATAACAAAGGTATACTCTATATTAACATTGTTCAGGCCAGCCCTACTTTTAAAAACATTTGGACCAAATTAATAATTTATTTAAAAATAATGAAAACTCTTCATTATCCACTGCATTCCTGCAGATGTAGTGGGTTATGCAAAAGAATCTGTTGTTTACAACGTCCACAACGCTTCAGCCAGTGTCTTCCATCACTGATATGAGTTGTGATAAGCTACTGTTTTAAATGTCTCAGTGAATTATTTAACAGAAGCGTATCTCCTTACTTCAGACTACCAAATAGACTGACCACTTGTCCCTGATTAACTCAGTAACTACACATGGCTATCCATCTCTGTGACCATGGTCACTTTCTTTGCATTAGGTTTATTTTCAGGCTGTTTACGAGTGTGTTCTGTTGTGATCTGATTTTTCAATGTTTTGTTTCTTTGTAGCTCCTATACATGGAGTTGAATGATATGCGTGGATGTCAGAACGCCACACCACTTCGCTCCTCACTCACACCGTCCAAAAAGGTGGACGTGGACCGCACTATCATGCCAGACGGCACCATCGTCACCACAGTTACTACCATCCAGTCACGGCCGAAGCTGGACCGCAAGCTAGGTACCTTGCTAGTTAATTCCCTTTTCATCAGAGCCAGTCCTAATGACCATAAAGTACATTTAATCTTGCATACCTTAGAAATGCCTTCTAGATGAGTGGTGATATGGGCACAGTGGGTGAATCAGTTCTGTGCCCACACAAGAGTACTTTATTTACATTTAATTTGCAACAAACATGCCCCAATTTGCCCTCATATACATATACTTTACATGAAGTATGCCCTAATACATACAGATGTTTGGATAATAAGATAAAACAAAAGTATTCAGCAGGCTCATGTGCCAGTGGTTGTCCTTAAAGCTGGAGTTTAAGGTCAAGCAGAATGTGCACTACAATAGCTTTATAGTGTTAAAATTAGTGTTTGAAAAGAATAAATTGGCAAATGATTAAAGTGTAGTAGCCTTCTTTAGATAATGTTGTTAAGTGATTTTGCAGTGAGATTATTTTCATTAAATACGGTCTGCATGAGTGATAATATGCAGTATATAAGCTTCTACTGTAGTATGTAAGCTATGTTTTGTGTTTTAGGGAGGTAATTATTTACTGTATTGGTAGTATAAAGCAAAAAAATTTTAATGGAATGTATGGTTGCAGCATTTGTTTTAATCAGTGTGAAAAAATAAGTGTATGTCCTCTAGAACAAGTATTGCTGTGTGCAAACTTAATATTATCACTTCTTTTTTTTACCTCACAGTTTTGCTGTTTTTGACAACAATTTTGATTATTTAACCTCAAATCAAGCATTTTTCAAGCTATGAAAATATTATGTGCACTTCTACCAGACAGTTTAATCGTACAGATAAAATTAAGGTATAATAAAACTGTCTGTGAAATTTGCATGTGATTTATTTTATGATGAGATTTGACCATACGCAGCTTTAATGAATAAGGACCACTGGACCCATGACCCTCATCTGACAATTTATAACTATTTTCCTTCCTGTCTTTTCTCTACCACTGCATGTACGTATAGGCGATTCTCCCTCTAGGTCTCCGTCTAAGGTGGAGGTGACGGAGAAAAGGCCGACAGTGCTGACAGAGAGCTTCCAGAGCCAAGCCAGCATCAGCCCCACGCCCAGCAGTCAGTTCAGCATTATTAAGGCTTATAGAGGTTTATAAAACACACAGTCTGCCATGTGTCAGTGTCAATTACAGCTCTAACTTGTGAAAGAAGCAATGAATGTGAGATGGTTCTTCTTATCCTGTGCCTTAATATGAACGTTGTTCATTTTGTTCCTTATCTACATGTGTACGTATGGTCTGTATTTCAGCAGAAAGCCCCCTCTCAAATGGGCTGGACCCCGTAGCAGAGACAGCCATCCGGCAGCTGACTGAGTCAGCCAGTAAGGCAGCGAAGAAGACCCCCACCAAGCGCAGCACACTCATCATCTCTGGAGTGTCAAAGGTCTGATGATGTCATGTGATGTTATAATGATGTCACTGTCTTTTTATTGTCAATTTTAATTCCGCTGTCTCGGACATCTCTCTCCCTCATTAAGTTAATTTAATTACATTCTGTACTTATTGTGTGGGGCACTACATAGGCCAGCTTGTCATCAGCTTAAAGACTCTAAAATATAATCACAGCTGAAAATATCACAGACAAAGCTCTAAAAATAAGTTTCCAAGTCTTCCAAGATTCTGTCATACTTCGCTTCTAGGAGTTTTATACATTTAATATCTGTTTTAAGTAAATGCAAAATCAATGGCACAACGACGAAAGCTCTTTGTAAGCTAATGTACCTTAATTACCCCACATAATAAATCATAATACATTTAGGGTAACTCATAGGTAGCTTATTGCTTAATCACCTCATCCTAGTGAGCTCCTAGCTTGGGAATAAGCCAAATTAACTAATGCCTAGGCTTAGACCCTCTTTTAAAATCCCTCTTTCAATCCTCCAGGTTCCCATTACAGAAGATGACTCTGCATTGTCAGTGGGCTATGCTGCAGCCATGGATGCTGCCCTGCAGGGGGACCACTCTCCAAGTGGAGCCCCAAACCACCATGGAGCAACTCCCAACCAGGACGCGGAAGAGACCACGCCATCCGACGTGTCTGAGCGGCCGTCGGTGGATGACGTGGAGTCGGAGACAGGCTCTACTGGAGCGCTAGAGACACGCAGCCTCAAAGACCATAAAGGTGCCTGACTCTGGAGTACATTAGGGCACACAAACAAATATCTGTATACACCAACTGGCCATTTCATTAAGTAGTATCTACACTTTTATCTACACTCATTGTCTATTTTATCAGCTCTTCTTAATACAAGTGCACTTCTTAAATAAGCAATTACAGTTTGTAGTCCATCTTTTTCTCTGCATACCCTGCAAAAAAGCCTCCTTGAACCCTATACTCAGTCCAGCAGTGATACTGAGGTGTTTAAAACCTCCAGCAGCACTGCTGCATCTGATCCACTCATACTAGCACAACACACACTAACACACCACCACCACGTCAGTGTCACTGCAGTGCTGAGAATAATACCTTCTTTGTGGTGGTCCTGTGGTGGTCCTAACCATTGAAGAACAGGGTGAAAGGGGGCTAACAAAGTATGCAGAGAAACTGATGGACTACAGTCTGTAATTGTAGAACTTCAAAGTGCACCTATATGATAAGTAGAGCTGATACAATGGACAGTGCGTGTAGATTCAAGGTAGGTGTACTAAATGAAGTTGCTGGTCAGTGTTTATAGTAACAAAGGTGTGTACACACCTGACTGAATATATGTTTTTTATTAATCTAAATAACATTTTAATCTAAAGGCTTAACAATAAAAGTTGATAAAAATGTTTCCAAAATGTTAAGCTCAGCAAATAATAAATAGAAATTGTGCAGTATGGTTTGATCTCTGTAGAGGATGTGTTAACTTATTTTCACTCAGAAAATCAACAAAACCTGGAATTTGACTAGAGGTATTTAAACCTTTGTATATGGATGTATCAATATACAATGTTTCTGAAACAAGATGGTTGATTAAAAAAAAAAGGTTTTACTGTGGGCAGGACTATTTTGAAGAATCTAAAACTTAATGTAGTTTTGATTTGTTTAACACTTGTTTGTTCTTTGCATAATTCTAGATGTTATTTCATAGTCTTGATATCTTTGCTATCATTGTAAAATGTCTAAAACAAACAAAAAATGGTATATGAGTTTGTTTGTTCATAGTATTGACTAGTACTATCTGTATTATGTAAACATACTGCCATCAGAAGTATGTGAAAACACAGTGTAGTTGTTCACATTACAGGATGCGTTACTATCTGTGGTTCCAAAAACGAGGCTCACACAGCACAGTTTTTCACCCAGAGAAAGCTGTGGCAAAGCGCCAATGGCAAATTCCCGGTGCCTATCATGTGCCAAACTACAGCTAATTTGTGTGTTTACTGAGTCCATACAGAATGTGAGTGGCCTTTGTCAGCACAACGGAGAAAGCACAGCAGCCTCAGAAAATATTCAGAATTTTTTTTCTCCAGTTGCTTTGGATTGGATGGGATTTGATGCAAATAATAGAAATTTGTCTATGCCTGGAAAATCAGTGCTAAAATTGTGTAGTGTGCCCTCAGCTTAAAGTGGAATTCCACTGATTCTACAAAATGTCTCTATAAATAAATGGTAAAGATGTAAACAAAGTAATTCAGAGTGCTTTGATGTGAAATGCTCCGTTCTAGATAAACTTACCGATTTAGAGTTGTTCACAGTGGTGGTGACATCCGAAGCGTTTAATGCCTCTAAAAGCTCCCTCACAGGAAGGTATTATTAAAAAGGTTATTAAAGGTTTTAAAAGTTATTACATAAAATGCTTCCAAGGAAGCTGCTTAATGCCTGAGACATTCTTTTACATATGTGGTAAACAGAACTCAAAGGCATTTTTTGGATTAACTACTATTTTATCATTATCAGAAACTACCATTAACTAACATTGTAGCCCCTGGTTTCTGTCCCCAACACTGTAAAGAAATCTGAGTCTGTAACCTTTTGTACAAGGAACTATTTAACATCAAACCACTCTGAAAGACTTTGTTTACGTCTCAAAAATTATATTATGAATTATACCAATTGAGTTTGAATTGTTCACAGTGGTGGTGATGAGAACCAGACGTCTGAAGAGGTTACTGACTCTAAAAGCTCCCTCATAGAAAGTTCACATGAAACGATTCCGAACACACTACCTAATGACTAAGACATTGTTTTATGATATTTTTGAGATTACCTAACTCATTTATTTTAAATGCATGGAGGGGTACATGCGGGGTGTTGTAAGGCAATATAGTGCCCAATAAATTTTTTCAGGTTTGTAATTATTTTACCATTATCAAACATTATACATAGAAAAACTTGTAGACACATGTAGGCATACTAGTCATTTGCTTATGCCTATATTTGCGTTGTAGACATTACGACTCCTGGTTCCTATCACCACCATTGTAAAGAGATCCAAGTAGGTAAGTTTCTTTGCTATGCACCATTTCATATCAAACCACTCAGATTTGACTATGTTTTATATCTGTGTTTAAATTATGGAGAAACATTGTGTGCCTGTGTTTATAAGCCTTCACTGTCTGACTGTGATTTTTGGGTTGCAGTGGGCTTTCTCCGCAGTGGAACGAAACTGCTGTTCCGCAGAAGGCACAAGCAGAAGGACCCCAGCTTCAGCCAGTCCCACGAGGACGTCTGCAACCTGGGCAACGACTCGTCCACAGCCTCCTGCTCCTCCAGCAGCCGCAAGAAGTCTGGAAGCTTCTCACGCCGCCTGATCAAGCGCTTCTCCTTCCGTTCATCTAAAAGCAAAGGCAAAAGTAGCGCCACCAACGGGGGGGCCAACACGGCCGACAACTGAGACACGGACAGAGAGAGAAACTGGATAGACGTGGTGCGGGCGCCAGTCGAACGAGCAAGGGGCAGCTAGAGCGTTAGAAACAGTTCCTGGAACAAAATGAAGCCTGTGCTCCCTTTTTGGGAGGTGACAGGCATAGCCTTGACCCTCCTTGTCCACAATATTTGACCCAAACAGCCATCGTTGCTTCACGAGTGTGATGAGTACATACGCCTCAGGCGGACGCACATCTGTGCTCTGGCTAATGTTGTGTTCAGGGCAGAATTCTCAAAGAAACATAGAGAAAAACAAAGGGATTTGTCTCCTTCTGAAATACCTATTGATTGTCTAAACTGTGGGTTTAATAATAGACTTTAAATAGCTGCTTTCATGGAGGATAAGGGACAGAAGTGAATTGAAAATAGGAGGGGAGTGAAATGCTGTAAGACTTGTTCAGCACAAGGGGGCGACATAAACCAATCCTTATCACAGCCTCCCACATTATGTTGCTATGTGTTTTTATTATTTATTTAATTTTCATCAGTTGCACTTTGAAACTTTCTCTGATTGTTTACAACGCTGGGGAGCTTTTTCTTCATCGGTTTTCTTATTTTGTGTATTGTTTACTGTCACTGACACTAAATTATTACTCCTTACCAAACAAGGATTTGTTAATGGGTTAATTATGGTGAGGCTTATGCTGTGCGCTTTGTTGTTTTGCTGTAGTTAATAGCAAGTTAGATCAACAAATATTAAGCCCTGTTTTTCAAATAGTGGTACTTTCATTGTGGCACCTTCTTCTTTTATAATGTTTGTTAGTACACAGGAGTAGTATGCATATCTCACAGTTATGTTTGAGTGAATTTTAGTTGTAAAGCTATGAATCATACAAACAGAAGTAAGACAAATTTAACTATGATTGAAAGTTTCTGATTATAATGATAAATTATATCAAGTTAAATTTACACTAAGCTATAATAAGTATTTCAGGTTAGATAAATAAAAAAAACCTCAGGGGATATTATGAACGGTTTCCACAAATTACGTTCAATCTTTTCAAGACTACTCACTGCTCAGAGGAAAAAAGACACATCCTGGACAATATGCTCCAAAATAAAAGTTCCCTACCGTGACTTAAGTCCTTATTTATTTAGCTGCAATAAACTTAGAATGCCCAAAAGTGGGTTCCCCTGCATGCATAGCTTAGCTGACTCGACCTAAACATGTGTAAATAATACTGTTTAAGTGGGAGCACTTCTCAATTCCACCTTCAGATCTACATAACAGCTAAAATGGCAGACTTCTAGCAGCAAGGTGAATGCTTAACTCAGCTTCTGGTGGCTTTAGCTATTCGAAGGGAAATTGTGTGACCACGTACGTCACAAGACAATAGCAAGATTGTTCTAGGAAGTGTGGTGCCATGGCCTTTGATGGTGAAAGCTGGTTGAATGAAAATGTAAGCACTTATCCAGGTCATTGTCGTCTCCTAACCCTTTCTGCAGTCTTCTCAATGATTACTTCAGGCCGACACATTCCAATGCATTTCCTTTGATTGCAAAATTGATTGAACATTTTTGTTTGACATCTGGAAGAAGTTATAAACTAATGTTTTCATCTGGTTATGAATGGCTGAGATCCTTTGCTCTTTCTCCAGTCTGTTATCCTCTTTCCTACCAAAAAAAAAAAAAGGCTGAATGAAGACCCCAATGTTACACTACTATTAGGCCCAGAATGTCATTCTCTATGGTAATAGTGAGTCGCCTAAAGAGAAAAGAATGCCTCTAAGATATTTGGAGCTTTATATTACTATGTGGCTACTTCAATGTTTAATTTATTCTGAATAAATTATTTTTGAAAAATGCATTTTACTTAGTGTTCTTTTTAAATGTGCTAACTTTTGGATGATTTATAATATTGTGCCAGAGCTATGATACAGATGAGCTATTATCAAAAAGAAAAGCCCTTCTAATTAGAGAGGCCAATATAATATTGATAGGTATCGAGCCAATACCAGCAGAAAATTCTGGATCAGATATTGGAGGGGGGAAAGAATGAATCTGCTTCAGTCCTGCAACAAATATAGCCTGAAATAGCACAGGCATACATGTACATCTAGGTGTATCTGTGTAGTTTGAGCATGATGGCCTAAATTTAGATGCTCATCTTAAGTAGTACATTTAAAGAACAAATATTGAATCTGTATACTCAGGGTTTCCTGCTATGTCTATTTTAATACTAACAGATTTAGATACAGATGTGAGACTTTTTAAATTATTTTATCCTACATGAGAATCTGACGTTTTAACACATAATGCATTTAACAGATCTTATGTTTCAAAGCTATCTTAAGATAACCTTCAGCTGATGTCTTTTGAGGTTAGGGTTGGGGTATAATTTGATATCTCAAAGAAAAGGCTTTGTTGACTTTCCGCCAAGATGTATCGACTTAAAATTCAGAGGGAACATATTTAATTGGTTTGAATTTTCCGCCCAAAGTCGATTGACAGAAGTAAAGACCAATGATAGAACAGCTAGACTCTGCCATCCAATCAGCGTGGAGCTTGGCTAGCAAAGCTCTGATAGGTGTTTTGGTTTGCGCTGTTTATGCATAGCAGCTTGCAGCCAATGAGAGCTCGCATCCTGTCAGGCTTTTGTCCCAAGAGCCAATGAGAACCTTCTCGGTGTGGACGTAACCAATAGGAATGTGGGGGAGGGTCAAAGCGCCCATTTTTCAGCCTGTCCTTAAATACTGCACCAACTTCACACACCTCACTCTCTGATTTTCTTTAGTTGAGAGAAGCAAAAGAAGAATTCAACGAATATGTCTGGAAGAGGCAAAACCGGAGGAAAAGCCCGCGCCAAGGCCAAGACCCGCAGCTCCCGTGCTGGTCTGCAGTTTCCAGTCGGTCGTGTCCATCGTCTTCTGCGGAAAGGAAACTACGCTGAGCGGGTAGGTGCCGGCGCTCCTGTGTATCTGGCCGCCGTGCTCGAGTACCTCACCGCTGAGATCCTGGAGTTGGCGGGTAACGCCGCTAGGGACAACAAGAAGACCCGGATCATTCCCCGTCACCTTCAGCTCGCCGTCCGCAACGACGAGGAGCTGAACAAGCTGCTCGGCGGAGTGACCATCGCTCAGGGAGGCGTTCTGCCCAACATCCAGGCCGTGCTCCTGCCCAAGAAAACCGGCCAGGCCGCCCCGAGCTCCGGCAAGGCGGGAAAGAAAGGATCTTCACAGTCCCAAGAATACTAAACAGTGGCGCGAACTCTGACTGCCTGAACAACCCAAACCCAAAGGCCCTTTTAAGGGCCACCCAGCTCTTCTGAAAAAGAGCGGTTCCCACTGTTTCTCTGTCGATGTGTCTCTGTGATTTTTCTACGGTTGCCAATAAACGTGTTTCTCGAACTTACCTTGGAGCTGCTGTTTATTTTGGTGTCTGTTAACTGAATTTTATGCTGTAATTAGTTCAGGTGGGTGCTTATTTTGTTTCCTGGTAATCTTTTTTTTATTATTTATTTATTTTTTTTTATATATAGACATACCGTAGCAGGTCGGAACTGTTCCCGCTAAGTCATCAATTCTAGCACTGCTAATTCAATTAAAGGGGAATTCCACCAACAAGAATTTACTTATTAAATGTTCAAGAGAGAAAGTCATACACTGTGGTTTAATAGAAACTGCTCATTTCTAGATAACTTTACTGAGTCAGAAGAATTCAGTAACGGTGGTAGGAACCAGAAGTCTTAAGTGTTTAATATCTCTAAAAGCTACATTACATTACAGGACATTGCCACTTGAAGTGCTTATGAATCCACCGCCTGATACCTGGAGTTTTTTCATTTAATTCCTGGTGGAGTGGTACACGCAGGGTGTTATGAGGAAAGTAGTCCCCAAAGGAACCATTTTTTAGTCACTAGTGTTTTACCATTTTCAACATTACATATAAAAATCAGAAGATGCATGTAGGTTTACTGGCGGTTGAAGCTGCCATGACCTCTGGTTCCTATCACCACTGCTGTAAAGAACAATGTATATGAATGTAGTTCATATCAAAACGCTCCATTTTACTTTGTTTAAATCTCAACAAATGAGTTGTGCAGAAATTTTGTTGAACTGGTGGAATTCCCCTGTAACTTACTAATGTTGTAGCCTAACCTGGGTAGTGTTGGCTACCTAATCTAAATGAATGAACTTAAAATGTTATTTGAAGCAGATAATTCTTCATTTTAATTAAAGTGCTTTTACACATCGCTGAGATATTTCCCCTTAAACTTCTGTCAGTAGCAACACCGGTCAAGCCACACAGGATTATACATGATCTTTGGTCAAGCTAAGGAGATGCACTTATGGTTTCACCTCTTTAATCTTAAATGACTGAATATGGCTGGGAATTCATGGTGTCTGACAATTCAACAAATATACAGGAAACCTTTGGAAAATAATTTTAATTTCAGTAGTTTAAGAAGTACAGCTCAAGACTGCATTACCACAATAAGGCACGTTTCAAAGTGTAAGAACAACATACGTGTAAATGAATCAGCATCCTGGCAGTTTTAGAGGACTCAGGCCATAAACGATATCCAGTACGAGGTCCATCTTACTGCCTAGACTTTTCTTGGGAGAATGTTACACAGTCCTGTTTGCCCATCAAACAATAAGGGGCGGTTTCCTGAACACAAATTAGGTCAGGCCCTGAATTAATAGTGCTTATGGAGGTTCACCACTCAAAATCTTTTTTTAGTGCTCCACTAGGCCTAATCTGTGTCAGGGCCTCCTAAGGGCTTGGCAGTGGATAAGAGAAGTAGGTAGGCCCAAGTCCACTAAAATGAAGTAGCACCCAGTGTTTTTACAATGACACTGTAAAAGACACTAAAGATTTAGGCTAAAAGAAGGAAGCATTTAGGAGTAAACGTGGCTGCAGATTTGCCTGATGTTATGACCAGATATGAAAATGTCCCACCTCACTAAAAGTAATTCTTTTACGGTGGACAAAAGTCCATCACACTAAAAGAGCAGAGACCGTCTGACTTGTAATATGGTTACAAATACTTATCGTAATTGATAAATGAAATGTTATCACAGTTGATATTCAGCTCCAAATGAACTATTTTGCCTGAGGCTCAGTGTAGTTAAGGCACAAATGGCAATGCTAAAAGAATTATCTTCATGGTGGTCATACTGGTAAATGGAGGCGTACAATCATTCTCTTAATTCCAGTTAAATAGAACTGCAGCTGTCCTGCTCTGGCATTGGATATATCTTACATGCTGACAGATACAAATATAATGTGACTATACATGAGGTGACAATGACTCTGACTGTGGTGGGTGTCTGTATGCAGTTTTCAAGCTGACAGTGTTAAAAGTCTGTCGTGTGGGTCAGAGATCTCCCAAAGGGCCTGCACACCGCAGTGTCTGAGAAGAGCCATTATCGGGCGTCGTTGAGCTGCCTGGCTGTGGTAAGGATGTCCTTGGCTCCTTTAGTAAGCAGAAGGTTGGCGAGGTCCACGCCCAGCTTCTCTGCAGCGTCCAGAGCCGTCAGAGAGATGTTATTTGCTGTTATTCCGACATGGACACGCTCTTCTGTGCTCTCAGGCACCTAAAATGCACACAGAGGAGTAAATGGTTTCCGCATCTAAAGCTCAGTTCACACTTGTCCAGTAAGGTGACACAAAGTTTTAAAATAAATAATTAAAAAAAATGTGTAAAGTTGTGAGGAGCGAGGCTGGAATTGCATTCTGAACACTGGCTACGTTTACATGCAAAGATTTTTGCCAATCCGATTGAATACATTCTGATTACAGATTAAGACTGAGGTGTT